TTGTCTTCATTTCACCCATTTTGTGATTTATTAGAATGCAGATACTGTTTGTATACAATAGAAGCAAACAAAGAAGAGAAAAATAGAAATCATTATTCACTGTATTGAATTTGCAAAAACAGCTTTTATACTTAAAGCTTGTTAGCTAAAATTGCAATTAATGGCAGAGAGCAAATATCAATACATGTGCATTATAGGTATTATAGACAGGGATTTACACAAGTCTTAAATTCAATGCAACTTTTTTTCACAATTAGTATTTCAAACTTGAGAATCTTTTTTATTTATAATGCTTGCATCCCATGATTCATGCTCTTGAAGCCTGTGGTGCCAGTGTAGATCTAAAGGTTTTATTTTAATATTTTGTGTTGTAAATGAGTGAACAGTGTAAGAACAAAAGAATCCTGATTAGAGAATCTGATAGTAAGCCAGTTATTGATGTCACCAGGATGATTACAAACTTCATATTGGAGATCATAGGAAGACACTACTTTGTCATAAACTTGTAACATGTATATTAATTTTAATTGTGGACCTTCACAAAGGCATGATGTAATGTAATTGTCAACGTTTGCGTAACAAGAAATTTGGAAAGAGAGAAAAATTTTAAATATTAAATGATGAATTTTATGATTTGTCACTGAGTGCTAAAGAAGTTTAACAGATTTTTTAAAATGGGACTTCGTCAAATTTTGTGGATGATTGATTTATAGATTTCTTTTTATATAAAGGTCGTTGCCTTTAACTATTGAACAAAAAAAATAATTCATTAGTGCCCCAAAGTTAAGATAAATTGTTGTGAAAACAGATTAATTTGGGCATTTAAAGATTTCACTTACTGATCAGAATAAAAAGTTGCATCTTTAAAATATCATTACGACATTAAATTGTTCAGATTTTGAATACAAACTGCTGAATGTCAATAAAAAGTCAATTCCAAAGATTTATGTTCCAGTAATGCCCTAGCTGTTGTACATCCACATTTTTGTATTGTGTGCAAGTCTTATTGAAAAGTTTTTTTTTTGCTCCCAGGGGGCCAAAGAATTATGATTTAGTTGCACGGTAAATCCCCCCCCCTCCTACACACACATACATTCTTATTCCAAAGGTAGAATGATCTGACCTTAAGTTATATGCCCCCCCCCCCCTTCCTGACTTATTTGACATAAAATGCGTGAATTGGCCAAACATAAATGTTTAATTTGATATGTTTGGATTGCTTATTTTGGAATGGGTTTCAGGTTTCTTACATGTGTAATATACTTTGTTATAAGCTGTTGGCAGATCTGCGAGGCACATATGCCTAAAATACAATGTAAATGGTTAAAAGGATCTATAGCCGCATATTAATACCCATCGGATTGTTATGATATTTGGACATTTAAAAACTGATTGAACAAATGGTTAACCAGAGATTTAAAAACTTGGGTAAAGGTTTGGAAAGTTTGTTTTACATTGTGAGAGATTGAATTCTGACATGGTGTACAAAGATTAGTGGACAATTACTGCAATGTCTTGCCTCTCAGTGGGTGGTGATATTCCTTTCACCCAATCTGTCAATAAAAGAGAATAGAATGTTCCATAAATAAATCTGGGCTCTATATGATATTTAATTATCTTATGTGAGAGATGAGAAGATTTATATAAAGCACCACGACTAGGCCATATTTGACTTATCAATAGAAAGAAGATTGTATTATATATTATATACAGGAGATCATGTAGTCACTCATTTGCACCCAGCTGTTAATTATAATATACTTGTTAGAGAGCTTCCTATAAGATTTAATCTTGATTTACCTTTACGACATTTGAAATGGCCCGTTGACCTTGATGGTCAACTGAGTGTCAATGCAAGAACATTTCTTAGACATTGCCCCTACACATGTCATATGCATACAAGTGAAGTTTCTTTGTAAAACATATAAACTTATGCCACTAACATTTCATATTTTTTGTCTCTTTGACACCTTGAGATCTATTGTCAAAAGGAAACATGCCCACTCATTGTCAATTTTAGGTATACAGCTGTCAACCTTGAAAATTTCCAAGTCAATTGATACACATGTATCAACTAACAAAAAAAAATATTTAATTTAGTTACACTGTAGAAGACATTTAAATCAAGTATTAAAAATAATTTGATAGTCATTTCATGATTGTAATTATATTTCATTTATGAAAATGAAAATTTTAGTTGTCTATGGTATTGAAGTGCAAATCAGATTTTTGTTCCAATTGACAGGTTCGACAGCCATATAAGTATAATATGGATTAATGTTAAATATTTTTTGGCATCTGATATATATACATACTTTTAAGTACAGGCAGGTACATATGTTCTCCAAGACAAAAACTTATTTCTATCAAAAATATAACCCTTATTTATATGAATCTGTAACATATGACCCTTTTCTATGAATCTGTAACATATATATTTCCAATACTCAGTAGTATATCAATAAAAGACAGATCCAATTAGGGATTAATGACATCTCAACATTACATGTATGTCCATTCTGTCAGGGGCTTCTCAGAGTAGGGCACTTAAAGAGTATCGGTACATGTGCTTTATTAATAAAACATGAAATAACCCATATCAAAAAATAATACAGAAAAGTATATTTTTAATATACTTTTAATACATTCATTTTTGTACTTTCTTAAAATAATACAGAAAAAATATATTATTTTCCTATCACAAAAAATTCAGTATATCATTTTTGTATTAAAATTTGACTTTGATTTTGTACAGTGTATTATTTTTGTATTTTTTGGACTTAGATTATTTTCAGTGTATTATTTTTGTATTTTTTCGGGACTTAATTTTTTCCAGATGTATTTTTTCTGTATCAAATTTGAACTTAGTCATTTTACAGAAAAGTCTATACAGTTAGACTGTATTATTTCTGTATTAAATTTGGACTTCATAATTTTACAGACAGTTTGTATTATTTTTATATCAAATTTAGACTTAGTAATTTTACAGAGTTTGTCTGTATTATTTTCATATTAAATTTGGACTTGGTAATTTTACAAAAAGACGGTCAGTATTTTTTGTCTCAAATTTGATTTTAGCACATTTACAGAAAATTCCATATATTTGGTCTCTATTTCTTTTTGTTGTTGGGGGGGGGGGGGGGGTTAAATTTAGACATATTTTTTCTATTTACATTTGTCTTTATGAACTTTATAAATTTTAGAGAAATTCCTTGCAAAATGTCTGCTGCTTTTTTTATAAGTTTATAGCATACCCGGTACTTAGAAAATTTATATTATATATTTTTTTTGCAGGAATCTTGGTATACGATTATCTAGAACTTAAATAATTAGTTGGTACTAAAATTTATGTTAATCTCAATCAGTGGTAATCCAGAGAAATATTTCCATCTTGGGCATGAAGCTTTTACAGCGGGTTTACATTAACTTTTCAGCGGGTTTACATCTTTCACGTGTTTAGATCTATCACACAACAGGTGGTCTTGCAGGCTAACAAATGATTGCATCATACTACAATTCAGAAATTACGTGATTTACCTGTGCACATGGAAAGTCCCAACTAGCTATTACCATGCATACGATGTTTTCTTCAGATTTTAGTATATATGTGCACATTTTCACTCAGAGAAGGAATCATATTCAAATTATAAAAAGTAATTTGTTTTTATTCAGATAAAATATTGATCAGTTTTTCTTCAACTCTGTGTTTAATTCTACTCTCAGTTTAAAAAAAAAACGATCCTGATTTTAATTAGTTAATAATTTACAAGTTAATTATGTTTGATCTTGGGCTAATTCTTGTATAATCGGTGTAGGGTGGTTTCGCGCCGATTACGTGTTCGCTCCGAGTGGTATCGCGCCGAGTGGTTTCGCCCCATTTATCTACAGGTAAGATATTGGTAGTATACAGTATGGCTTCCCCCCGATTACCTATAATTATATAACTTAGTACCTTGTAATTAATTAACCCCAAGCGTTAAAGTCGTGTGTCGGATAATTATCCCATTTTGTATTAATACTTACAGTGAGGCCATTTTTAGCCATATATTTGAACTAATATGATCGTCTATAATTTGGAATAATTAAGAGTGGATGTTAAAATAAATATTCATTTCACAAATCTCATTGACTTTTCAATGAAGGTTGTGATTGTTTTTCATTTGATTTACAATATTAAATTATGTAGGATTCTTCTGCATGGCGATTATTCTGTATTAGACTTCCCTTTTCATTGCAATATTTCCTCTTCTTTATAATATCTTAATATATATATTAATCAAATGACTAATTCGATAAGCGGTATCTTCAGTTATACAGTAGAAACCAATAGGGGCGAATCCACTCGGCGCGAACAAGTGATCGGCGCGAAACCACTCGGCGCTAACACGTAATCGGAGCGAAACCACCCGCATTCGTATAATCAATGCAATCAAATGACAGTTTCTCAAGTTAAATCTTCTACCCTGACAGCCTGAGGCATGTTTATTAGCCAGGTGGTTGTGTGCTTCGTTCAAGCGTGAAGTGATTTCCTGTCGTGAATTCACACTTGGTTGCGTTATGTAAACAAGAGATTATCAGTATGCACTGAATAAACAGAACAGCTAAGGAATATTGCCTTCACTGGGAATATTTATTAATTTTTTGTTTGGAAAAAAGGACATGGCGCCGAGAAAAGGGGCATGGCTCTATACCTTGTTATTTTGCTTTAGATTTAACACTAAATTGATCCTTCTTCTTGAACTTTATGGTCGACTTTACAGGTCAACTTGTATAATTAAAAAAAAACAAAAACAAAACAATATGGCTGACCAGAAATCTTTCTCATCTGTAATCATAAAATTTCTTTAAAACAAAAATAACGATTATAAGAAATGATTCCTAATAATTATTCTAGTAATGATCAAGGGTTTATTAAATTGATGCCATTTACTTATTAGACTTCGTACTTGACTGTTAAAAATATTTTATTTTTAAAAATCAACAATCTTCGTAAATAAGGAGCTATTTGATTGGTCAGATTTTAAAATTTTTCTTTGCTTTTCTCTGATTGGTTAACGGTAATTTACCCACGCCATTTTGAAAAATAGATCGACGAACCAAATTGAGAGAGTTGGTGATGTTTAATAAAATTTAGCTAATATTCGCGGATGAAATTGGTAGAAAATAGATGTTTAGCTACAGCATGTTAGCATGGATCACATTTATAAACAAAGAAAAGCGAAAACGGAAGGAGGTTGGCGTTTTTCAAGCATCATGCCCTGGCTTTCCTGGTGTAAACAACGCCATACGCGGTAAGAATTTACATAAAATAGCACAGTAGTTTCAATTTTTAAAATGTGAAATGTAGATTAATAAATGTTAATAATATCTTTTATAACCAATTCATAGTAGGTCAAATTGAATGCAGATATATTGGACATGTTGGATTTGTGGCGAAAGAGAGTTTTGTTATGCTACTTTCCATCTTGAATTGTATGGATAATTACGGGCTTTCAACAGGGTAACACTAAAATACGCCTGCCGACGCCTGCCAGAGGAAAATACGCCTGCCGAGAAAATCTATACGCCTGCCGTGTTATTAATGTAATTAATTTGTTTTTTGTTAGATATATTACTTTTTCAAACCCAGTAGTTGATGTTTTAGGAAAAAAATAATTTTAAAAGCACAGAATGGCGTTTTTGATCGTTTATAAAGTTTGCATACGGCGTGGAGCACGCCTGCCGAAAAATCTAACGCCCGCGGTGTTGTTTCTCTAATTTCTGATTACAATATTTGATATGTTACTTTTAAAAATTATTTGGTTAACATTTGACAAAAAAATAATCCAATTTTTTTTTTAAAATATATATTTTATTCATTTAGTGATTGATACGAGAGTTAAAGGAGATAACTCTTACTTGACCATAGGAACCGCTGGGTGAAGCCCACGGACATCATCTTTTTCTTTCTTTCTTTCTTTCTTTTTTAAATAAAAATATTATTGATTTCGTATTTGTTTATAGAAATTACAATGGCTCAGAAGCACATATGCAGTAAAAACTTTGCTTTTTACGGGTTGTTGTTTTGAATCAGAATCTGAAACATTCGATGTTGAACTTTTTAAACATTAATGATAAGCTTATTATTATTATTTCGAGTTATATTAACTTATTATATGTAACAAAGTTAAAAAATGAATTTTTTACAGGTAAGAGAAAGGGTATAAAAACTATTCATACAAATCCATGTATACATCAAGCAGAGAAGGAAATAAACGAAATGAGTAAGAAAATCAGCATGTACATATGACATGTGTACAAAATATCGTTTATACCTGTGTGTTCAAATCATTCTTCTTTATTCATTTAGAGAAAAAATAAGATAAGGTAAATCAAATTCTAAAGAAAAAAATAAAACAAATAACACATGCAGGCACTTGATGTTCCACACATTTCGTTAAAAAAAAAAAAAAAAAAAAAAAAAAAAAATGGAACCCAAATAATTCGGTATGGGGTTTTACTTTATTATCTTTTTCAGATATGTAACGTCAAAGAACAGTCTGCAGAGTAAAATTAACTGAAAGCATGATGTGTTTATACCATGTATGCAACATGTATAAGCAATCTGGGCTGTCATGGAAATAAACAAAACTTTTAAAAAGTTAATAATTTTCAAAATATAAAACACGTTACTTTTCATCTTAATTAACATTTCAAAGTTTCACAATTTCTTCGTTTAGGCAAAGAACTTGATGACTTAAGGAAAGTGGTGAAAGTAATCTATTTTATTCATTTTTTCAATTAGAGAAAAAACAATCCATCGAAAGTTCCAAATAACCTCGCTATATATTATTGTTCTATCAAAATTCATTATTGTTAAAATTTGTTTACAATGATATGAATGTCTGAATTCGGGTTTACTGTGTATACACAGACTTCAAATTTCAATGAAACTTAATTATCGATCTTCCTGTATACCCTACTTGTGCGTAATATTATGTGGTATTACATAATTGGGTACATGACAAGTGAGAAGATTGGCACGTGCGCTATACACACTCCCAGGTGGGATATATAATGAACCAGGACCAAAAAATCAGAATTATTTTTTTTTTTTTTACATATCTGGTTAAATAAATGAATTTTAAGAAAATATGGATGAAGGAAAGTCCGAATTTTATACAAATGCATGTTTATCAAACTATTGAAAAGATCGTCGATTTACATTCGAATGTTGTAATTTTGACATGACTGAGAATGTATTTAATCCAGTAACAAAAAAGAAAATCAATATATGGAAGCAATGAAAATATATAATAACTAATTGACGTACTTTTATTATTCTTTATTTGTCTAATACATAAGAATTATCACAATTTTTTAATAAGTATAATACAAAAAAAAAAAATAATAAAAAAAACAACACCGCGGGCGTGTAGATTTTCTCGGCAGGCGTGCTCTACGACGCAAGCAAATTATAAAACGATTAAAACATCGAACATGTGCTTTTTAAATTAATTTTTTTTTTTGGTAAATCATTAAGTAAATAGTCTATTAAAATAATATATGTAATAAAATATAACTTTAGTGAATAAATAACACGGCAGGCGTATAGATTTTCTCGGCAGGCGTATTTTCCCCTGGCAGGCGTCGGCAGGCGTATTTTAGTAGGACCGCTTTCAACATGTTCAATGGCAAATGATATTATTTAAATGGACCAAAAATGACTTAAAAATTAATTTCACCCTATCCCTCAGGCCTAAACATGGAATAATAACAGATAAAATCATCTTGGCATCCAACCATTTAAATTTTGAAAAGTGAGGTGGGGGGGGGGGGGTAATCATTGCAACTAAGCTTCATGGATTTATGGTTTAGCATACTTATAATTATTTCAAAAATGACTTGAGAAGAAGGTGGTAAGAAAGATTTTTTTTGGCACAAACTAATTATGATGATCCATATTTCCCTTCCCCAATATCAGTTTAATATTTAAAATCAAATCACCCCCCCCCCACCCCCACCCCAATTCCAATGAGGTGTATTGACAGTTTTATATTTTCATTTTTTAATGGTCTGTATTTCTACCTGTTCTGCAAAACATTTATCAGTATCATTACTTTTACAGTTTGAGTGCCTCTGCAGAGCCAAAGAAGAAAAGCTGATTAGTTATAGAGGAATAGGACACCAACCCCCACCCCCTCCCACCCTACCCCTTGAAGCATTACAGGTGTGTAACATTGACAAATGACAATATCAGCTAATCATGTGAAGATATCTTTTTTGTGTGTGTCTGTGCATCTATTTTTGATATACCCCAGTGCATTTTGATATTCTATTTTGTAGTCTAAGATTATGCAGGACCTAGCAGGATGACAGTGAGAAAACTGGAGATGTATTTTTTTCAATAAAGTAAAGTGCTGTGCAAAAGAAACCCCAAAGCAGAGAGAAGATCTAGACTTTTGAATTCATATCTCATTATAAATGTACAATTTTCAAAGACAATAAGATTGATAAAACATGACTTAGAAATGAGGACAATTGAAGAGTGAATACTGTATGTAAGACAGAAAAGATCAATATTATTGCACAAAAAGTAACTAAATCAGTAATCTAAAGTAAAACGATTTCTCTTTAAAATCTGATTGAAAGCTGCATTTAAGAAGGAAGAAGTTTTTCACCTTTTTTAGTACTTTTCTAGGCACTGCTTTGTATTATTTAAAGCTTTTTTATGTACTTTTTGTCTATCATTCTTGTACCTTTTTTGAACTCCTAAATGTATTTTTTTTTTTTGTATCTTTCAGAATGTATTATATTTAGATTTTTTGTTTTAAAATCGATTTTAATACAGAAATAATAGACTGATACAAAATTAATACATTTTGTATTATTTTCCTATTTTTTTTTCTAGGTGCTCCAAATAATACAGAAATAATAGACTGATACAAAATTAATACATTTTGTATTATTTTCCTATTTTTTTTTCAAGGTGCTCCAAATAATACAGAAATAATAGACTGATACAAAATTAATACATTTTGTATTATTTTCCTATTTTTTTTTTCAAGGTGCTCCAAATAATACAGAAATAATAGACGGATACAAAATTAATACATTTTGTATTATTTTCCTATTTTTTTTCAAGGTTTTCCAAATAATACAGAAATAATAGACCGATACAAAATTAATACATTTTGTATTATTTTCCTATTTTTTTTTTCAAGGTGCTCCAAATAATACAGAAATAATAGACTGATACAAAATTAATACATTTTATATTATTTTTGTATTTTTTAGTTCTTCTGTAAATTGTATTATTTTTGTACTTTGGATAAGGATTTAATACAGAAAAAATACAAGAGTACAGAAAAAATACATCAAGTGTATTATTTTTGTATTTTTACTGAGAAATAAAGTATATTAAAAATATATTTTTTTGTGTTTCATTTCAAAGAAAGTGTATTATTTTTGACCTAATTTGGAACCAAGATAAAAAGGGTTCCAAATTTGGTCATTAAAAATATACTTTTTTTGTATTATTTTTGTATTATTTTAATCTATTATTTTTATATTTATTTTCGATATGGGAAGGGTTGGTTATCTGTGTATAACCAAAATTTTATGTTAGCAAGCATATAGTTTAATTATGAGACTTTCTTTTAGCCTGTTTGATTACATGCACAAGCATTGTAGTCCAAGTAATATTGATGAAGAAAATTTTGTACACAGATATGTGAATTTAAGTTAGAAGAATATAAGAAATGAATTTTTAAAATGTTATTGAATCCAAATTTTTAAGGCTTGATAAGATTAGCATTGCATGCCCTTAAAAGCCCTCTTCAGAGAACAGTGCAATTTAAGGTTCATGATCTTTTAGTGGCAATTGTACAATAAACAGCTTCTTCTTATGAAAATTAAAGCATAAATTTATGAACATAATATTATTAATAATTATAAGTATACTTGAACCTTAAAACCCTCAATTTTGGAACGTGAAATAAAAATGTAAATTTAGCCAGGAATGAATTAAAGATAATCTGTTTTTTAATCCCTATAATTCTGTCTTTTGTGTTTCAGGTAGCGTTGAAGAGGCCAGAATTATCCTTGCATGTAAAGTGGACAAGAAATGGCAGTGAATCATCACTAATACACTATTGAGCCAGGTGAGCCTTACGTGCCTCTATGTACTTTTTATTCTTGCTCTATTTATGTATTGTTACCTTGGAGGAGCATGTACATGGCTCAAGAAAGCTTGGTGGTGAAAGTGTGAACAATCATGTGTAAAAGAACATTTAAATCGGTCCTTAATTGTAATTAATCTGACCAGCCAATGTTCCATTCAGCTTTTTTATTTGGATAGAATTTAACGCTTTTTTCGCAAGACCCCTCAAAATCTGTAAGCTGGTGGAAGAGTAGTTCAGAATGTAGAAATAAATTAAGTTCTTTGCTTTAATTAAATAAAAATCCCAAAGTTGATTTAAAAAATTGAAAAAAAATTTTTCAAAGAACAAATTTACATATCATTAAATCAACATGAAAGTCATTTTAGACTGAAATCATGCCCCCTTGGACAGAGCAAAGCTTCAGAAAGGGTCAATAGTTTTTTTTTTGAATGGATATACATGTACATATATATATGGATAAATGCAGAAAAAATCTTATGAATTACAGGATTTTCTGTGCATGCATACTTACTTAATGGAGATTAAAAATTTGATTGACCCAATGGTCAGGAATAACTGTGACACAGGTGAGTGTTGTGGTCCATAAATATTTAATTTACACCTTAAAAAAATTGATATGAAGGTTTAAAACTGACTGGAAGTTAATTTCCGAAGAATTTGTAAAGAATCAATAATTCAGAGTACTTTAATCAGACAGGTTGAATGGCCCTGAAAAATTTATAGGAGAATCAATGATAAAGATGCACCTATATATCACCTAGTGTTCATTGAAAAGATATGGTCAAATCTATAATGTTTTACGTCAAGTGTCTAGAATGGGTATATCCAAATTTGTTCCCTGATCACCGAAGATTTAGAGAGCTTAATTTTCTCGTGCCCTAATACCATTGATCTTACAAGTAGATGCTCACTTGTATTCTTTAATCGGAAAGTTCATCAAATATGTATAATCTATCACTGCAAATCTGATTTTCCTGATACTTTACTCTGATGTAAGCAATTTAGATAGACACTTCCGTCTAAGGATAGATGTCCCGTCTTTTGGAATTAATTATTTCGTCTTATTTGAGATATACACTGCTGGGATTACACAAGACAGTAAAGGGTTAGTTTTATGGGAGCAGATATTTAAAATTGTTTCTTGTTTCCAGTTTGCTGCAGAAAAGTGTATTAAGATTTTATTTTTATATCGGCATTCGACACATGAAGTTTGAAAATAGAAAAGAATGAAATACTTTTGTGCCATATCATGAATTTTTCATGAACATTACAATATTTGAAACTTCTAGTTCATTGTTCTGCAAAGTTTAGTGCATTGAAATTAGAACATATTGACTGTAAATCTCTATATAATGATATTTCCCAGTGGTAATTATTATTTGCTTGAGAGGATTTGATTGAAAATATCATTTTTTTTGTTTCATTCCCAATGGATTATTGATTGGAAAAATTCCATACCTCAAAAGGCCCCAACATTGTTATCTTCTTTGCATACAGATGCTAATTACAACTTTGTTACATTGTGTGTGAAAAAAACAGTGAGTAAAATCAAAATGCCAATGCCGAACTTTTAGTACTGGAATCTAATAAATTTTAAAACAGGCTTGATCTGACAATAAATTTAGATTGAACAGTCCACAAACAGCATACATTAAATGAATTATTTCAGGAAGATGCAATTTTAATGCTGCAAATGTTGTAAAAGAATAACGCCCTGAAAGAATTTGAATTTTCATGTTACCAAATATCAATCATTCAATCTAATAAACATTCAGTAGTTTGTAAACAACCTTGCTTGTATTCTGTCAAACACATGAGTGTTTTGAGCTTATGAAGTTTTGTCTACAAGGTTCTTATACAGTGATGCTCTTTTACTGACTGGCCGTTACCTCATAGCCATGCAACCAATATGTGTTTTTGGCTCAAACTATGCTCTTTTGATTTCAAAAACAACTTTCATTTCCCATTACTCGCAGAGTTAATTTTCACCACCCTTTTAGTTTTTAAAGAAGACCATCTAGTTTTTAGCCATAATAAATCCAAGAGATGGTCAATGTTTCTCAGGTTAAATCAGATTAATGCTATTTCAACTCATGACCATTCCTACTATGCATCCATATTGTTGGGTTATTAACTTAAATCAAATTTCATATGCTGATACATTTTGGTGAGGACTATTTAGCTGCATCAACTTTTTTGAACTTGACTTATTCTATTTCTATTTGTAACTTGCTGTTAGTTCTTAAGAGACCTGCTAGAAGAAGCTCACACTTGGTATAAGAATTACTTATGACCCAAGGGTGTGTCATGACCTTTACCCAAGGTCATTCAGACAAGATCAAGGTCACTGACAAACAAAGTATAAAATTCTTGTCCACACTAAAAATACAATTTTGACTTTATAATTGACAATCTTTGGAAGCTGATACTTAATAGAGGGATTGCTAATCACGTAAGGATGTTTCTTGACTTTGACATAAGGTTGTTCCAGCAAGTTCAAGGCCACTGGCAGAGAAATATAAAAAAAATTCTCCAGGCTATATATTTGTAATTGAGAATCACTGTAAGCTTATACTTGGTACAGAGATTGCTTTTGACTTGTGATGAATTCAAGTCATGAACTATTCCAAGGTGATTCCGTTAGGTTCAAAGTCACAGACAAAAAACTTACATCTTAATCTTTTCTGTATGTGTTATAACTTTGTTAAGGAGAATCTTTAGATGCTCGTAGTTGATTCAAATTGCTTATGACCCCAGGTTTGTCATGACCTTGACCTAAAATAATTCAATTCAGTTCAAGATCACTGACAGAAAAATTTCTAGAGTTTATAATTGTTTAAATCCATCACTTTGTAATGGAGAATCGCAGTGGAAGCTTATACTTGATACAGAGATTGCTTATGATCTCAGAGTGTGTTCTGAGTTTAAACTCATTCAACCAACTTCAATACCACTGGTGAAAAAGTAAAATATCCACAGGTCTCTCATTTTCTTATGTAAAAAATTCCATAATTTCCATGTGCACATTTCACTGAAAGATTACTAATGACTAGAGGATGTCTTATTTTCAATCAAGGTCATTTGGCAAGTTCAGGGTCCCATTTACAAAATTGAAATGGCACTTTAAAAAAAAATGTGGGGTATTTTGTGAGCTTGCTCATTGTGCTTTTTTTCATAGAAACAATACATTCTTTCATTATCAAGATTGTCCTGAATTTTTTTTTAAAGTTTCAAGTAAGAAGGAGAGTTAACTCACACAGGACTTATTTAAAAAACAAAAAACTATGTCATTGACTCTAAAAAATTTACTCGCATCACACAGAAATAAATGATTTACAATATGACATGTGAATTTCATTTGAAAGGGACTACACAGTAATTACCATGTATTACATGATAACAAAATGATATTTTGGCATCCCTGGCATTTTAAGACAAAAAAGTTTGTAACTCTGGTGTAATGGTTTCTTAAGAGCCCTTGACTGTAGCAAAAAGTTAGGTTGTTATAAAACCTGGGTGAGCTTGTCATTCTGTTCTAAAAGCTGAAATAATTTTTAACATGGTAATGTGAAGTTGCAACAAAAATAGTGATAATCCAATAATCCAATATTCTT